TTTGGAGAAGAGGCGATGTGCATGCTGGAATGGCCTCTCAAGTACGTCGGAACAGTTTTGACAACTCCCAATGCTGAAAAAAAGGAAGTTGGAAAAAGTTAGAGATGTTAGAAAGTCAGGAAACATTCGAGATCCTGGAAATAATAAATAGTCATGGTAGAGAGCAATTTCTCTTTTTTTTTTTTTCTTTTTTTTTTTTATGGAGACATAGAGAACAAAGAAGTATTTGTTTCTTGATTCCTCATCTAGGAAGCATAACTGGCTCGTGCCTTCTGTGTTTCCTGTGCAGCCAGGGCTGCCAGATCATTTACTGCTCCGCAAAGAGCGATCCCTGTTTGAGGAGCAACAGGGGACTTTAGGCAAGTACTGGGAGATTTGCAGTATGACAAGACCTGGCTGCAGGAAGACACTATTTTCTAGCATCAGTATTAATACTAGGTGAAGACCAGAGTTAGGTATGGAGTGCTTTTCATTGTTACAGTCTTCCATGCCATGCCACAGGAAAGTTCTGCAAGTGGAATAATTGCGCTGGTGTGGCTTGAAAAGCTTTGATTAGGAATTTCTGGAACAGCCTTTTGATGTTATTGGTGATTTCTGCATGCAGCTTTTGCTTTGCTGGGACACTTAAATCAGCAATGAGAAAACACTGCTGAAGTTTCCGATGTCTTCCTAGTAGACGGGTTCAGCTGGGATCAGCGTTAGCCTCAACCCTGTCTGGAAAAGGGCTCTGTACAAATACCAAGCAATCAGCCCTCAAGGTGGAAAACAGCAAACGAGCCTCACTGCCCCTACTGAGAGCTAGAGCAAAAAGACAAGCAAGACTTATGCATGTAAATATTCCAGAAAGTAACAGCTGAGAAAAAGAAAGGCAGAAAGACCTGACATTTCCCTGTCCTTATTACAACTACAAAAGCCATGAAGGAATCCAGCTGTTGCAAATTGTGGCCATGCTCCCTCTTCCTTCCAGATCCTGCTGGTTTTCCACAAGCGATCAGGACACGCCGGCTCCTCTGTGGCTCCCGGTCCTCCCTTTGAAAGGCTTTAAGCCACGCTCAGGCTCCCTGCTCAAGAATTTGCACAGCCACGGCATCTGCCCCACGAAACCCGGGGAGGGGATTTAAGAAAATAGTAAATGCATTAAATGCAGTCTCTACCATGCTTGTGTACTTACTTAATTTCTTCTTTTTTTTTTTTGGGGGGGGGGGGTAGGTGAAGGGAAAGAAACAGGGAAAAAGAAGAAAAAAGGTCTGCAAAACAAGGATTCATGTGGGGAGACCTTTATATTAGTTTTTTTAGGGGTTTGGTGGGGTTTTGTTTGGGGTTTTATTTTTAGTTTTCAGCTTGTGAATCACAAGTGAAGTTTCACAGCTCTGCTCCCTTTGAAGTACTGTAGATTCAGGTTTACATTTCAACAACTCATTACATGGGGCTGCAGACACTTGCCTGAAGCCAAACATTTACAACCTGGAGGAGCACACTGCATCCCTCTCCTGCAGTAAGTGGCACCCAGTTTTCCAGCCAGGTTTTTGGGGGTTGGTTTTTTGGGTTTTTTTGTTTGGTTTTTTTTTTTTTGTTCATGCAAACACGGAAAGACAGGCAGTAGCTCTGCAATCACAAATGCAATTTCTTCTTGATGGAGCTGCCTCCATGAGATGGGAAGGAGTTTGCTCGCAGTCGGGATCCAAACACAAGCCCTGTCTCAGGGCGCTTTGCTGACTCAGCACAACGCTCAGCAGTCCCATTCCCATGGGATACAGCTGGACCAGCGCAGCCGTTCGTCACATCTGTCATGTCTTTTGCAGACAACTTTTTACTTCAGCCCCTGGAAACTCCCATTGCGACTTAAATGCAATAAAATGCTGCCGGTCATAGACAGCTAATCACTGCGAGGACTGCGTGTCTGGTGGGTAAGGAACAGGCACAGCCCTGCCGTGGGTTCCTAAAGCTCCTTCCAGACTGCAGGGTGTTAGCATCTTCTCGTTTTAATCGCCCCCAAACTGCTGTGTGAAGGAGGTATGTCCAGATTTAAATAGAAATAGTTTAAAAAATTAGCTGACATGTGAGCCTTGCAGCAGAGAGGGTTTTTTCTTCTCTCTCCCAGTTATGTGAGTGGGTGCTGATTTTTATAACGTCTATAAGTCTTAGAACAATTGACTGTTTGGCTCAGAAATAACTTTACAAAGCCCTAAAGAGCCATGAACTAGAGCTCCCCAACCCCATCTCCCCAGCTCTTCCTGTACTGCCTATAGGTACCAAACGCAAACTTCCCAACACAAGTCCAGTACATACCTTGAAGCAGCCCCGGGTGCCGTTATCCCTGCAGCCTTCGCTCTCTTCCTCCCCAGCTGCAGCACCGAACGTGGCTCTTGGCTCACGTGGCTCTTGGCAAGGGATGGGATTTCCAGGAGACCGGTCAACCAAAATCCCGGTGGAGCGGAGAGTGGGCAACCTCGTCAGGTACCAGCGCTGCCACAGAAAGAGTTCGCTGGCTCCATTCAAGCCTCCACCTGGTGATGAAGGAGGCGGATTGCTGATGAAGACCATCATCTCCGCTCCCCCCAGTTCTTGCTGCTTTGTCCCGGCAGCTGCTCCGGCACCTTCGGCTGGTTGCAGGTTGAGGACCGGGGCCATACACTCTTCGAGGCAGGGAGTGTTTCTCTACTCACTCGTCCGGCATGCCAAGCAAGTGCTTTTCGGGTCTGTAGAACAACCACTACCTTTCCTGTTTCTTCTTATTCTTGGCACAAAGAATTTTGAATCATTTCCCACTGAGGTTAAAAGCATTTAAGAGTCTGTTTGCACAGTGGTTTTTTTAAAGCGACCTCCAGTTGTAACACACGCTTCCCCTAGCATACACGAAAATATCCAAACGGCCTTTAGTTTAGGAACCATCCTCATATTCCTGAGAAAAAGCTCTAGAGCAAGATTTTTTTTTCCCTTTGCATTTTACCTATTGCTTGGTTTTCACATTTCAGCTTCATATTTGAGCAGTTACATCACACATCGCCCATCTCAGGTGGGGGGAGAAATATGAACTAGAAAAAGCACAGTAATTCACAACACTTTGTTTCCTAGGCAGAGGACCAAAATACTGCTTGCAAAATACCAGTATTTTTATGCTACGAAACTACAATTAGGCTCTCAATTAAATTTTATTAATTTTACTCATGGGAGTTTGTTAGCACAAGACAGCTGAAGGAACTCCCAAGGGCTCTCGCTAAAATCCTCTGCACTAAGCCTCACCATTTCTGCAGCTATACAAAGGGGAAAAATGAGTATTTCAAAGGACGAGAACCCAAATTCTGCAGACACATCCGCCACGAACTCTCCGTACATCGTTAGTCCCAGGGAACAAACTGGATTTACTCACTTGACTGAAGTTTTCTGTGTGCACAACCCTGTGTCTGCAGAAGTGGGGTGCTCAAGCAGTGGCTCATGGACAAGACGTACAGACTGACAAACTGCTTCCACAACAGGATTCTTCACTTTTTCTGAATGCTGGCATCTCCCAAAAAAGAGAGCTTTCAGATTTAATTAAATTTTACTATTTTATTTGTGAAAAAACTACAAGCAGAATTCATAAATAGACATTTCTATTTAAAGCAGGAAAATGATAAAGTGGCTTCTAATAACAGTCGTGCACATGCCAGTAACAGGAATATATTAACATCTTTTATTTGCTAGACAAAGAGCAGTGTCCAATATAAATTTCCCAAAAACATTTAAGACCTGTGAATTTCTGACCAGTTCACAAAACCACCATTGACACTTTAGCATGAAGATTAAAACAAACCTAACAGGACTGTCAGCTCTAAAGACTTTACAGAGCGGAAAAACTTTCAAAAGCGTTATACAAGCTGTCTTTCTGGGCAAATGAAAAATATAGCTCGTATAATACATTAACATAAAAATCCACAAGATAAGATTATGTTTTGACATACTTAAACAAGCATTCTATATTTGTCTCCAACAAACAAAGCTAAGGAAATAATGTAACCATCTTTACACAGTAAATTAAGGTTACAAGTCATACACAAGAACAGAACTGCTTGCGCATTAAAAACTGTTCAGCTCCATTGTCATACTCTAAATGTTGGCTCTTAAAACCATTCGGTTACATACAAGCAAAGGTTATTATATAGTCAGCAATTAATAAATTTTCAATAATTTAAGTTTATGGTAGAGCTTAAAAAAGTAGACTGAGAATGATCTTGGTAAGGCAGGTGAAAACATCTCAGTGGAAATAAACTCACGGAAGCTGCTGCCAAATTTTCAATCTGTCCAATTTGAAACAAGCAAAGTGTTCCAATTAAAATAAATAGCCTGGTGGTGTAAAATGCTGTCATTTTTCCTTTGCAGAACTACATCAAACTGAGCAAGTCAGGCAAGCTGTGTTGGTGTCTGTGTGTGTGTGTCTGTGTAAGAGTTGAAACTTCGCAAACGTAACACTGTGCTTTACTTACCTGCTTTCTGTGCCACTGAACACCACGAATCTGGTCCTTCCCCTACACTAGTGTTTTGGTTGGTTTGGTTCTTAAACACGCTCCCCACCAACAGTGGGATAACCCATGGACACAGTGCGAAGGGAATCCCACCTGTGGACACATGCCGCGGGGATGCCAACTTCAGAAATTAAGTGTAAAAGCAAACGCTATCCTTCAAATCCACAACACAACAGCTACGGATGAGGCTGGGGAGGTTCAATGCTTAGCTAGCAATTTCTACTGAATGCAGAATTACAGGTCGCTTGTTCCAAAGAAATTTTCCCACTTATTTATAGCAAGCTACTTTATCAAGGAGGCACGGCCAGAGACAGATGTTACCGACTTTACCAGTAGCCATGAGTAGCTGGTCACAGCGTTAAAGCTTTTTCAACTGATCTACAGGTCCATTTTCACTTGAAAAAGAAGCAATTCCCTGGTACACACAATGCTTTTTTTTTTTTTTTTTTCCTTTTTTGCACAAATTCCCAGATTCAACGAAGGAGGCAAGCGCACGGTTTGACTTGAAGCACCAGAATTAGCCCCACTGAAGCCAGAGGGACTCGCACCTCGCTCACATTCTTCGCTGGATCACGGCCGAGATGCACGCAAGCCTAATTGATAATGGATCATTTATAAAGCAGTGCAAAATATACAAGTTCAGGGGCATCTTCAAAAAATCTCTCTTAAAAAATTATTCCAATACATTTCAGTAAAATAAATAAATATGGCTGACCAGTTTACCCTCCCTGAGACCCTTAAAGGAATAGTAAAAACTGGAAAAAGGAATGTCTTTGCAATATCCCACTAATGTTAAAATGTGGATTGAGAAATTCATAGTATTTAAAACTATGTATAATAAATTGTCTTGATGCTCATAGGAAGCATCTGGTTTCCTTTGGTTCTTTAATAAATACTTTAAAAATGCTTAAAAAGGTAAATACAGCCTATACTGTGAATATAAGCAGAATTAAGTTGGGGTGCCCACGTTAACGTATTCGGAATAAAACCACTGCTGCAAAGGCACTGCCACTGCACGTACCTTCGAGCAGGGGTTGCAATGGATCCCTTACACATTTCTGTCACCAGTGTGAAAGGAACCTACGTCTGCTACTCAAAACCACACAGATTTTAAAAGAAATCTTAAATCAGTTGCCTCCACAAAGAGAAGTTACTCTTGCTAAGCAAATAATTCACAATATAACAAGCTGGCACAAAGTTGTCAAAATGTGGCCCTCTTTCATCATGCCCAAAAGTTATGCATTTGATGTCAAATGAAGCCACAGCCTCTGCGCCCGAAATTACTGCAAAGCACCTTGGGGCCACTAAATAAAGATGAAAAGCCGAAGAGGTTTGGGTTTTGTTTGTTTGGTTTTTTTTTAAAAAAAAGTTTTGTTTTACCTCTTCAGCCTAGTGTTTTAGCAGGATAATGCATGGAAGGTAAACTGTAAAGTAACACTAACAGGCCAGGAAAAGAAATTACAGTCTGAATAGCTTTAGAGCAAGAACGAAGGAGATGCTGGTCATGAGCATGAGCCACGCGCGTTGCTCAGTTGCCAGCAGGAAAGCTTTTCCCTACTTTTGCTCCCACAGCAGGAGACCCAGAAGCGTCCAAACGCTGACAAGCCCAACGTTATCACTGGACAAAGTGCTGTTCGGAAACCACTCCTGGGCTACGGATGGACTTCAAGGAGAAGAGCCACCCCAACAGCACGGACGGGACAGACAGAAGGGGGCTGACGACCGACCCACGTGCCGCCGGCTGGAACAAGCACCGGCTTATTCCCTCAACCCGCGATCGCTCCCAGCCCTACGGCTCCCTGCTGCCTTCCAACCCAAAGCAAACCACTCCAGTTCTAAAGGTACCTCGGTCACCGGTGCAGGTGGATGAAACTCATTAAATCTAGAACACCAAACGTCTGTGGGATTGGCTATGCACGACATAGCGATGCTCATGTTACCAAAATACACGAATCCGTGGCATGCCAACACCAGTCTGGTTGTGAAGGCTTACGCTCCAGCTGGGCACGAACTTGCATGTCACCGATCTGAGTTACCCTACTGGAAATACAAGCTACCTGGAGCAATCTTTTCTCATTTCAGATCCCAAGCTATAAAAATCAAAACCGTGTGTCCAGTACGTTTTAGCCATTGCTTAGGGAAGAAACGGGGAAGGAACGATAGAGAGAACGGGTCCCATCCAGGTTCGAACCTTCAGGAACACTTTTCACCTAAGACCAGTTCCATTTCAGTTTCAGTACTTTCACAGAAGGGGACTGTCCCAGATCTTGAACTGTTCGATTTTTTTTTTTTTTTTTTCACTTCACAGTGTTTCAAGCACCAGCGTTTCCATGTATTGGTTTCAAATAACCCTTTATATATATTTATTTATATATATATTTATATATAATTTATATCAAAACTGATAGTACACAGTATAACTGGAAGAAGAACTGAACTTAAAAAGGATATGTTGAAAGAGGATGGAGTTTGTGAATGCAATAAATAAAGCCCCCTTCCCTCCCCACCCGCTCCCTACCCCAAAACAAAAAGTTGTAATGTTCATGGAAAATTGTGCACAGCAGATATTATAAAAAAGTAGATTCAGGAGCACATCCAATTATAAATGATTGTTAGGAAAATCATATAAAACAATGGAATACATAAAAGTGTCAAGAGTAATCGTTAGGGTGAGAAATTCCTTGGTGGCCAAATGCCCACGGCAAGCAGAAATTATCCTGGTTGCATCAGTAAGAGGTCGATGTCCGAGAAAGTGTGTGTTCAAGCACAGAAGAGGCTCTCCAGGATTTGAACAGCATGGGCAGTTGGAGTGTTTGAATTTCATACCCTGATTCATAGTTTCCACAACTCCATGTGCAATTTTCAGAAAGATTCATCGTTGACTGCCGACATGTCCCCCTTCGGCGTGGAGGAACGGGACGAGCCCTTGTCTGTGCTCTCAGAGCCCGAGCTGCTCTGATTCTGTTGTTCTGATCCTGCACTGGAGGTCACTGTAGAAGACGACGTGGAAGAGGAGCGAGTCTTTTCTTTAAAGTCTGTGATGATTACTGTGACATTTCCCACTGTGACTGCCAGCTGCTGTGCAGTACTTCTGTCCACATTTTTCAGTCTGGGTCTAAAATAAATGAGAAAACATTTATAAAAAGGGTGAAAATAAATGAGAAAGGAAAAGTTTATTAGAAAAAGCATTCAACAACAAACCCGGTGTGACTTGTCCTCCGCTCGCCTGCGCAGATGGCAATAACTGGGAGGAGAACCTAGGCAGCAGAGTACCGCACAGCGGAGGACGAAGGTTTGACCTTCTGCTCCCTGCGACAGCTCGGGCTGTGAGGGCTGCAGCAGCATGCTCAGCCCCAGAGGAAAGACCTGTCTTGCAGAGCTCTGCAAAGGGTGCTCTGCTGTAGACTTATCCCTAATCCAATTCTGCCAGAAAGGAGGACACTACAGCAGAGCCAAGGGGACAGGAGCCAAAGAGACCAAAGGATCTCCTCCCCAAGGGGCAGATGAAAGAGTTCTCTTATCTAAATTCACCATCTCATCATGTGCCCTGATGTTATGAGACAAGGCTGTGACTCTGCAATACAAAACCACATGAAAGCATTTGACCACGGCTCTTTCATTCCCATATTGGAACTCTGCAGCTGCAAACAACACAGGCACTGGGACAACTTGGCTTCTCTTTCAACTGCTTTGAGCTTATACAAATCAGATGCCCAATCAGCCCATGTATAAAATCGCTCAAAATGTTCCCTCTGGAACCAAGGCTATTGTAAATAAAATCCAGAATGTACAACGGTATTTCTTGCAGCTAGCACTTTTGGTTAGGGGAAGGAAAAAAAAAAAGAAAAAAATCAAAATCATCAGAAAAGAACACACTGGTATTTATAGCTCAGTATTATCTCAGTAATTTGCATGCTGTGCTATCATTCAATTAGTAATGTAGCTAATAAGGGTCTAGACTCTAGGAAGCTGACATTCATGCACATTTCAGGGGCTGGTCCAAAGCTCTGATACAACAAACCTTGGACGCTCCTCCAGCTACCAGCGAATTCCAAGTCAGCTGCAGCGACTGCTGCAATTTACAGCTTTTGCTCCTAATTAAGGGTCAGGCTTAAGCAGCAGAATATTCCCAACAGGGAAATTAAAAAGGAGAGTTTATACATCAGTGAAAAGTAGCTTGCTGAGAACTGCCTTATTCCGAGGGATGGAGGGAAGGTTAGTTTACTTTGGGATCAAGCTCCAGCTTTTAAACCAATCTGCCTTTCCTCCTCCTTGTCTGCAGCATGCTAGGCTAGTGCGGTCAAAATGAAAAAAAGAGGAAATTAAGCCAACTTTGTATTTGCCATGCATACTCAATGGCTTGCAGTGGTAACTTCACAAGGCGAAAGTCCTTAAGTAGTAGTTATCCAAATGGTATTCTAGAACTAGACAGGATAAAGTATTGAGGACGGCTGTACAGCTTCAAAAATAGAACAAATGTATTTCTGCAAACTTCCTTACCAAAAATGAAGTTACTCCACCAAAAATAGTATTTTCATATCTAACCTAGGAGGCTGCTTCAATTTTTAACAAGTACCACAGGAAAAGCATTTCTAATAGATAGAAAATACAATTAAAAAACTGCTGCATTGGGATAACAGTCAGTAAGACCTCCTACTTGAAACAGCCCCTTCGTTTAGCGACTAGCCTTTTCAAACCCATAGCTGTGCTCAGTGAATTCCCACAACAGTGAGACACACATGCCCACGCATATGCGTTGTACATACGTGCTTGCAGAAGTTGGCAAATTCAACGCATAACCACAGGCTAGATTAAATGATGTCACCTTGTTTGTGGGTAACAAGAAAGGCCAGCTAGCTCAGCAAGTTTTGGGGTTTCCGTCGGCTTTCAGATAGCGTCTCGGCAGATGCAGGCTGCCCCCAAAGCATCAGCGGCAAACACAGCAGCAAGCGTTCCCGGAAGCATAGTACGCATACGTATTTTCCTCCCTCAGCCCCGAGTTCCTCTAGGAAACCCAGTTCTTCCTGTAATTTGCCTGGGTCATTTGTTTTCTCTTGTACTCAGAAACAGCCAAAAAATGCTGGCCCAGATACCGAAACAGACCTTACCGCCTCCACCTTTCTACAGGGTTGAACATGGACTCCTGCTACTGCTTGTCAAAAGAGTCATATCTGGCGGGGTGGGGGAATATTAAAAAAATTTAAAAAGAGTTCATATGGGCCTAAGCTGCACTACATTCTGCCCAGGAAAAGCTCAGCAACCTTAGAGATAAGCCATGCACCAAGCACCTGAATGAAACTGCCCATACATCTTTAAGTACCATGACAAATTAACATGGAGGGAAGCAGGGCTGAGGTGCAGAATTTCTCCATAGTCCTGCTCACAAACATATTCTCTACGTCAGTTTTAGAACTGAGCCCTCCAACCATTTCTGCAGGGTGTTTTAGGGGTCTCTCCTGTGCAAAAAGAGCTGATGAAGCACAGATGGAAACCTCCAGACAACCTCTTCAGCACATACATACAATTTTTGCTTCCTATAGACAGCAAAGGGGTTGGCCCACTCAAGTCGTTTTGCAAAATTAAGCACGCTGATGCTTCAACATTTATAGCTAAATAAGAAATGTGTTTCAAAACAATCAATCTGAAAGTGCACAGGAAGGCATGGAATAATGAAGATACTTTGTCAGAAACAGGCATGGTATCCAAGAAGTTCAAACAGTATTTCTTAAAAATCCAGAGATCCTTAAAAGACAATTAACAAAAAAAACAGTTAAGAAATCTGGGCATGAAAAAAATCTGAACAGATAACTTGTGACTCCATAAAAATCAGATCCTTTAAAAAGACTCTTGACAGCACTCCTAAGGTCAGTGAATTGCAAGAAAAGTTCCACTAAACGCTTAGATAGTTTAAGAACTGAAGGAGATGATGTATCCCTTAAAAATATCCAGATAGACCTGATACCATTAAGGATTAATTAGGAATGACAAAAGCTTGCCACAAAACATGGACTAAAAGACTCTGCAGTAGACAGAGCGACTCCTTCAAGGAGTAAAAACAATTATTTGATGTAATCTATCAATTTAATATTATGTCATTAGTCAAGTGCATCAAGTCTCCCACATTCTAAGTCTCAAAATAAGTACCATTTCAAAAAACAGGACAAAAAAAAATTTGCAATAAAGCCATATTTCTCTAATCAAATCAGGAATGGACACTTCAATCTTTGGGGGCTGAGGAAGAGTTAACAGCAGTCCCCGCAAACAGCTCAGTCTTCTAGCACAGCAAATCTCACACTGCCCTCACTACAATCAAGTGAGTTACTGTGTAAAGGATATTCACTCTTATTAAACATTTTCATGTTATTATTTAAGAACTTCAAGACAACAGTCTTCTGCAGTCATGTCTTGCCAACCTTAATGCTAACAGCAGTGCAAACCATATTCTCCACGTGCTTTACAACTGTTTGCAGCTAACGAATATTACTTCGGTTCATGTGGCTTCACTATAAAATACTTATTATGGCACATTTTAAAAAGAGATGCAATTCTTATATAGCCCGCACAGGCAAAGTGCCCAGTTGATTTCTGCCTCTTGTAGCTCTCTAAGCTCAGTAATATAAAAACTGCTCTTTGATGCTGAATTTTTGATTTAAGAAATAAAGCACAAGACACCGCTTAAAGAAAACAACCATGGAGTATCAGTATAGGCAAGACTAGGAATAAACCTCTCTCCATAAACAGCTACCCATTTGAAACCAGACAAACATGAAACCAACCATTCATGCTTTTTGTTGATAGCAAGATTCTAGCAAATCTGTTCATGCAGTCTTTTAATTCCCGTATACTTGGAAAATTATCTTCACAATTAGAGTGACAGAGTTGCAGATAAGGCAGTAAAAAAGTAACCTTTGTTACTGCTATCAAGCAATGATAAGAATTTGACAGACCACTACGATGGCTGGTTAATGTTTTTCCCCCACGGTGTTTTACAGCCAAAAGCATTACTGCCCAATTGACAATGCAATTATTTTAGCAGAGAACCAAAAACTTAATGGACAACAGAACAAATATTTCCAGTGCCTGAGTATGTCCTTGCCAGCAGAGTGTTTGAGTGCTTGTACATGGAGAAGGCTCATAGCCACCGATGGTCTTGCCGTACTAACACTGGCAGATCCTGTGGGTTAGACAGTAGTCTGTCTCTGTCCATCAAAAAAAAAAAAAGAAATGTCTGCTATTTAACACAGTTGTCAGATACTGAGAGCTTAACTTTAGTATAAAGTTACCTTGAAGTGTGATTTGAGTCGCTGGTCTTTGTTGTAGTATTCCCAGACTGTATACTGTTCGCTTCACTAGGAGGATCTTTCACAATATCTGACTTTGGTCTGTAAGAATTGGAGGGAAGAGGGAGAGTATGATGTTAGTTTAACTGCACAATTAATCAACGCACAGTGCTACTGAAATCACTCAGCATTTGATAGTGCATCCTTCAAACTTACTTAGTCTTCTTGTTAGCGTTCTTCTTTGTAACACTTGGACTAATTTCCTTCTCTTTGTCAGGTTTTTCTTTGTCTTGTTTTTCCACTTTCTCCTTCTTCTCCTTTTTAGGCGGTGGTGGGGTTGCATATTGCTGGGCAACTTGTTGTGCCACCAACTGAGAGTTTATTCTAGGTTTTCTACAATGACAATAAAGAGAGAGATCTATAGTCAATTTTACACAGTAAAAATGACTTCACCAAAAGCAGTATGAAGATTTATTTCAGCAGCCAGGGAAGAATATTCCACTTACAAAGAACCAAATGGATGCTCTTATTTAATGTGAAGTACTACTGCTGCTACTGAACAAGACAGAAATTTTAAAATTAAGAAATACTCCAAACTGCTGTTTCATCAGTTTTTAGCCTCATCTAACATTCTTAAATATAATGGTCCCTTTCTTCCATCCATGTCATGAAATCACAGCCAATTTGGGGGGGACGATAGTGAAAAAGCAGCTTTCAAGAAGTTGCCAGCCACGCACTGTGGCTACACTTTAAGAGAAGGAACAGAGAGAGTGATAAAAATAAGTTTCCTGATAAACATCAGTCTCATTCACATCGTTCGATTTAATTTTTCAAATGAGCTTCTGGTTCCCTGAAGCAGCAAACCTCGCACAAATAACAAAGAACAAGAGAAGGTAACTGAGATGACGTTGTCCCGAGGGCTGGGACCGAAGCTCACTGGCAGGAGCACAGAAGACAAGCGGGCATTCACGCTCCCACGGGGGAACGGCTGTGCCAGCCTCCGACACACCGTCTTCACACGATTGTCTGCAGTCCCCAGCGGTGCTCGGACAAAATACACAAGAAAACTGTCCTTCAAAGACTATTGCCATTTCAAATTATGACTTACACAAAAAAAATAGCTTCACATGTAACTGATACCTTGGTTACTGATCCTCAGAGTCTCACAGAAATTTGGACCTTCCTCTCTCCTGCATTCCTCATCAAAACTCTCGCCTCCTCTCAGCTTAACAACTCAAAACCTCTCCCTCCTGGCCTAGCATATCACAAAGCAGTTTATACTCTGAATACTCCAACTATTTACGATCGATTCAGCCCCTGCGACATGCCAGAAAGATCTATGCTCCCTACATCCACACAGCTTAGGGGGGGAAGAAAACCAGGTTATCAACTCCATTAGTCTTCCATTATGAGCTGAATACTAATTGCAACAGTTGCTCAAGCTTGTCCATAGACGTTCTATTGGTCATAAATACGATTCAAATTTTCTATTTAGATCAGACTACAACAGACTGTCAATGAAAGCAGTACACAAGTATCATCAAGTCTACAACTGGAACACAGAAACCCAAGGGTTTCTGCTGCAGAGCTCTGAGCGTGCACCCAGTTTCTACTACAAACATCTAGAGACTTTAAGAAGCTACTCAGTGGTTTCATGTGTTTAAAAAAAAAAGTGCAAAACACTAATTGTTCACATGTAACATCCGCATTTAGAGATGATACAAACAGAACACCCAGAGAAGTTCTGCTCCCTATCACAGGAAAATCCAAGTACCTAATAAGCCTCTCTTGGCACTGGTTTTCTGTACAATGGTACCAAGATGCTCTTAGTGAAGCCACATATACCCAAATATTTCATTTCACTACCACAGCTTATTATTATAAAGTCTATGCCACAGGTTGTAATCAGGCCTCTGACCTGTCTCAACACCACTGGCATTTAGATTTTTCACCCAACATAGAAACTGTAACTCATTTTATGCTACAATCTGCATACATTTCTGAGTGAACAAAGATGATCTGGTCTTCAGCCTTAAATAACTATGATGCTGAAATGTTTTGCAGATCAGATCAAGCAGTTACCTGTTCCACAGAACAGTGACGATATTTAGCATCCTTGCATTTAAAGTCCTGTATAGAGCAATTTCTGTCTGTATGGCTGAGAATAAACACACAAGTGTTTTGGTTACATGGAAAAAAGACTTTCAGATTGATACAACAACACTAAAAGCCAACAACAGTAGCTTGTCTCAAGCAACCTGCTAACCGCCTACTAAGAAAAAAAAAAAAAGAGGAGGGAAGAGATAAAGTGTCAAGAAATCTTCAAAGAGAGGGCAGATACCATCTCCCTACATGGTTATACATTATTAACCTCACTGCTTGAAGCTGCCACTTTTGCCCAGACTTACAGCTATGTGCTGTTGACACAACCAGCTAAGTCAGAAACCCGAGCCATTCATGGGAAATCCCAATTCAAGAATCTGAGAGCACCTTCAAAGTTTTTCTACTTTGCATGACTGGCGTGTTTGCTTGCGATGTTATTTCCAAGCCTTACGTCCAGCCTCCGCAGCTACCGAGCTGCCATTCCTGTTGTAGGAGTGCTGTGCTGCTGGAATGAAGATACAAATTTTAAGATGGAAACTTCAGCTAAACTAAAATAAAAAAAATACATAAGCAAGTCACACTGCGTTTCCCTAGAGAAGGCTGGAATCCAAAAGACCAGCCATAAAGCGCTCCTGCGGAGACACTTCGCCCCATGCTCTTCTGCTCCTTATCTGTGCCTGTGACGGCACACTACATTTATTAAGTTTTATCGTTTTCTGGCCAGCCACTGATGTAACTAGCACAACTTCTCCAAAACCCATATTTGCATATTCCTTCTTATACGCCACGATGGCTCGCTGGTAAGGGCAAACCCAAAACTGAAAGCGAAGAGAGCAGGCAGCAACACGCGCAGGCAGCAGACCTGCGGGCAGGGGACCAGCCCTGCTGGTGGGGCTTCTCCTGCTGCAACGAGGAAGGGAGCAGAAAGCTGCTGAGGCTTCGGTCAACACCGAGCATCTTGCAAGATCTGCTGTACTACTAGAACAGATTTCTTTCTTTCTTTTTTTTTTCCTTAAATAATTCAAATAACCCAAAAGCTTTCCAATTCCTACTTTGGCCATTTCACTCACACTAGCAGCAAGCTTAGGAAGGTTAAAAAATAGGCAAGTTAAGCAAATGGCATACTAATAGTAATAAAATCCTTCCAATAAGGCCCACGCTGCCATTACAGCCAGGATACACCGGTTACAAGCCCTGTACAAAAAAGCCAAGCAAAGCAAGTAGAGCAGCGCATTTTTAACCACAGCAAACTATAACCATAGTAACCACAATCGAGTAAAGTAGCTGCAATATCCAAAACTTGCTCCAAGCTTCCCTGCCTACCGAAAACACGCTTCAAGGGCTAACACTGATCTTATCTAGCACCCCTAGCACAGATCATCCCTCCAGGCACCGTTCCTGCCTCTACAGCCATCCATGCCACATCCTAGTCATGCTGTTTGTCAAAGCAGCCCCCCTCCTCATGAACATTGTGGATTCTTCTCCAGCTGTGGCAGCGGGTAGCTTGCATTGCCTTCTAGAAATAAGGAAAAAAGTAAATTCAGTAATACTTTGCAGTGGATAGTAGTCATCCTCCCTTTCAGAATTTGAGCAAGGAAGAAAACAGAAAATTTCAGTGTACAGAAACAAGCCTCATTCCCACTTGGGCTACAACGATTTAACATGCTCTGGCTTCTGCTGCAGAATTTGGAGTGATAAGAACAGAAAGATCCCTTTTTTCTTTTTCTGTTTTTTTGAACACTACAATGTGTCTGAGACTCCCTGCCCCTAATTTTGTTCCAGCTGGCCTTTTTTTTTTTAAAGGAATTTTTTGGCAATCTCCAAAGAGAATGCTTCAATCCAAATACACCACTATTATATTGAAATAAGTTACCACTTGAGCAGAATAACCTGAACAGAAAGTTGAAACCACTTCTGAATTTTTTTTGTAAGAATAAACAGCTGCAGAAACAAGTATTGACCATTTTTTACCCCCAAATCTGCTCATCAGCTTACTTTCTGTAACATTAACCAGTTCACATAAATAAAGAATACATCTCAGTGACAAAAATCAAATCCCAACTCAGCCTCTTCCAAGCTTTCTAACCAGCACTTGCACTTAAGGAACAACTATAATGTCATTTACTATAAAGCTTAAAGTATCAACATTACACACAAACCACAGCTAGCATGTCTCAACTTCCAAAAAATTATTTGAAGAGATGCAATACTTAGTATTATACTTGGTTCTTGATTTCCTAAGCAGACATCAAATGCTGAGCCACGGTGCCATGCAGGCTACCAGGTCTTCCCAACCAGAGGAGGAATATGCACATTTTCCATATCCATTCCCCGGTACGTGCTAGGTCCCCTCTGACACCAGCAGCACCTGACATCTGCTACAAGAGACTCTGCTTGATTCCCCCCCACCTGTGTCCCTACAAATCAAAATGTGCTATTACACCTTGGTGGCCACCATTACTTATGCCTACTCTGCACCTAGAATCAGGTGAGTGCTTTCAAAATCAGAGAAGCTAGTATTGTGTAATAACACATGCCAGCAGATAATGCCAACAGATGAATATTCTAAGAACAAGTTTTCAACGCAAATATCTGAAATAGGTATGTCTCCTTCTACCTGAACATTAAGATGAAGTTACGCTTTGCTTGGACAATTTTCCCCTCATTTAAGCAACAGTCTGGTTGAAGACTCAACCATCAAGATCCAACACTGATGTGACAAATAAATGAACACTATCCTTTTTTTTTTTTTCAACATAAAGAGGATTGTCTTCTAGAGCAATTAAACTAAACTGTGCTTTCAAAGTTATGTTCAGCAAAACAAGTTGTTTCACATTAGCTAAACTGTAGTTTACATCACAGGAGCAGATACTTGCACAATTCATGATCTTTGCAGCATGGACATACTGATGCATGAAAAAGCTATTGCAGTTGTCTACTCCGCACATGGTTTTGGCACCTAGGTCTTTACCATCAGCTATTGTAAATGATGTGCACAAATACTCTTTACTACCTTTTAGTAACAGACCTGCACAGAAATATTATGCCTGCAAATACTATACCCTCAGATTGTCATATGAGGTGACACTGGGATGTTCGGCTCGTGGGAACTGGAATAAATGCAAGACCTTTCCTGAAGGTCTCACTGCCTATGATACTGTGCTCTTGAAATTAAAAAAACCACAAAGCAAAACCAAAAAAACAAAGCAAAACCAAAAAAACAACAAACAAACCCAAAACCACACACAAAAAAAAAGCCAACTGTACTTTTAAGGTTCTGGCAAGCATCT